CTCATCTTCCTTAAACTAGCCTCTGTGAATCTAGCCAACTCGGAATTCCCAAAGTCTAGTTCCTGTCTTTTCTTTGAGAAATACAGTTCATACCCTCTCTCCTGTGCTACAGCCTTAGGAAGTAAGCTGGGCATGCACAAGGATCACCCCTCGTCCTCTACTTTCAAAGCATGGGACCCATTTGACCAGCGTCCCTCTTGAGGAGGAGTATCTATGTATCTACATCACATGCAATATCTTCTCACACCGGGTGCTTCATATGCAAGTCAAATGCTTAATATTGTCTTTAATATTGTTTTCTTTGTGTTTTCTATTCCTCAGTTTACCAATAAACACAATTCTTCATTGTATAACATTTCACTAATTAAATATTTACAATTTGACAGGGACTATGGAAAGCAGAAAGTAAATTCAAACCCTGAAGTTTCAACTGAATTTAATGAAGTAATTCTGGAGTTCTGTTTTGCCCTCCACATCTGCTTTTACCAACCATTAACAACCCTCCCTTCCCCTTCCCTTCTTCCTTTCAATTTGGGGAGGAGACAGACTTAGGGACGGTTGAAGTGACTGAGGAGTGAGAAACTCCCTCTTAGGAACTAAGTATCAACACAGTGTTCTCTTCAATACCACACATCAGTTTAACTTCTGAGAGACCAGGCTGCCATTGCAGAAAGAAATTTAAGGATATCTTGAGTTTCAGAAGGAAACAGTTTTCATTTTCTTTTGAACATAATAGGGTGTACACTTCTCCTTGGCTGAAGAGATGCTAGTACCAGATTTCTTCTGTAGACTGTGAGTTTGGACTCTAAGTTTGCATTGTAATTTCTTAAACATTCTGGATACAAATCTGAGGTTGTAAAAGTTAACAGCCACATCTATATAGACTTTATCTTATAGCATCAAGTACAGTACCATGCACTATTAAGTGCCCAATGGTGCTTTTTGCTGAGCAGGACAAAAATGACTTTTTATGGAGTGGAGGGAGAGATGGACATTTGAAAGCCAATGTCATTCATATTTCTGATCAATGGGTTATCTATATGCTATCTATATTTCCCTTACTTTTTATTTGGAATTTATTTACATTCAATAATTTTCTTGAATTTTTGTCTTATCTGTATTTTAAGGAAAAGAAAATTACAATTTTAAATTATTCTGATATTGGCCATTCATACCATTTGTTAAAATTCTGACTTTTATGTGAAATTGCACCTATTTTTGAATTATTTAGCTAAATTCAGTGTTTTCTGTGTGTTAGATTAGCATGTGATTAAGCTGCATCTTCACATACTAATAAGTATATACTAATAAGTTATTACAAAGAACAACTGCCCATCAGAAGATATACCAAGATAAGGGCTAGCAATTTGTTTGACTGGCATGTGTGAGACCCTAGGTCTAATCCCCCATACCACAAACGGATATATAAGAAATTTTAAATCATAATGCAATTTAACTGACTTTGTGTAGTCTAGGACAAAAATACACAGTAATTATTCATTATTTTAAATTTCCCTTTATGCTCTCCATCACACATATTCCTTAGTCCACTAAATCATGCATATATTCAAACATATTGAACAGTGGTATGAGCTCAAAGAAGCTTCAGCTACAGACACAACTTATGTGGGCGCTAACAATTGTTTAACATTTCTGTGCCCTAGTTTGTAATGAGAACACTAACAACTTGATGGGATTATCAACAGCCAATATTGGAAATGATAGTAGCTCCCTCATACAGTTGTTAAAGTTGGGAATCTCACTGGAAAGAAGCCTTCCATTGATCCTGAGGCAAACACCGTCCTTCTCTGCCATCATTATTACTAATACAACCATTACCATCAATGGTCTGGAATCTCTTGTTGAGAACAGAGCTTTTCTTATTCATAGTCTACTCTGTGCCCCTTGGTTTGGGCACAGGGACAAGAAAATTGTATGAATTCAGAAATTATACACACACACACACACACACACACACACACACACACACACACATATATATATATATATATATATATATATATATATATACACACATGCTTTTATGAATTGTTTGGTCTTGTGTTTAGAAGAGGACACAGTCCCACAGCATGGTTTTCAGTAGCAGCAGAGATGGCATGAACTGCTTTGGAATCAACAAATATCAACTCCTCTATCTGAATATGCCATGCAGTCAGTTGAGATCCGTTCTTGCTCTAGCTTGAGTTATGGACATTGATAAGGCCTATCGCCGTAATCTCTGGGTGCCAATGCTTTCCTAAGAACAGAAACACTACCTCAGCTCTAGATTCAAACACTTCCTTCGGCGTCAGTGTGCGCTGTCCTTAGCCTGCCTCAGACAACCGAGTTTACTGTACAGAGCTCTCCCCTACTGTGTGCAGATGCTCAGTGCTGAGTACACAGGCAAGCATGAGCACGGGCAGATGCTAATGTTTCCTACATGTTCTGTAGCATGAATTTCTAAAGCAGAAATAATAAGAAATACTATCCCCCAAAGTATTAGTTTAGAAACAATAAAAGAGTGACATGTCAATCAGATGCTACAAAATTGCACACAGGTCTTGAGACCAAACACACATGATAAACAAATATGAAGCTGTTCTGTATTGGAATTTGTGGAAAATGGATAGATTTTAGCTATTCTTGCCTCAAAGACACCAAAAATAAGAGCTAAGAAATTGCAAAAATTTGCTTCATTCTACTGACCTTTGAACTCTAAGATTATGTTTACGTCTTAAATAACACTTTAAATTTATTTTAAAAGTGAATACTATCTCAGAGTGTGGTGACACACGCCTTTAATCCCAGCACTCAGGAGAAGCAGGAGGATTTCTGAATTTAAGGCTAGCCTGGTCTACAGAGTGAGTTCCAAGACAGCCAGGGCTACACAGAGAAACCCTGTCCAAAAACAACAACAACAACAACAACAAAAAGGATACTATCAATGAGGTAACTTTTATTCTCTAACCCACAGAATTGTAAGAAATTCTGAAACATAAGCATGCCAGCATAATATTAGATTATATTGAGATTTATGATATCTCTAAAACAACTATTGTTCATGCTCAACTCAGGGACTAAGCCTAAACCCTTCTTTTAAAGACCATGCGGAACTGTTAACGTTCGTAATTCTTTGAAATTCCAGGCATGAATCCTTAAAAGGATGTGTGGCTTACAAACTTATCTTTATCCTGTTAGTTTCTAGGTTGGAGAGATTTATCAGTGGACAAAGCCTGTCTACTCAACAGAAAACCTGAGAAAAACTTGGAGCACTTGTGGATTAAAGGAGGTGATAATACTCCGCCCATCCCTGTAGTGAGCTGCACATCATCTGTGAAATGACACAGCCCTGCCCAGTGCACAGGAAGGACATAAATACCACTCTGCAGATGCACCATTTCCTAAAACTTTCTGCTTAGCTGAACTCAGAAAAACGTCATCTCCTCCACCCACCTACCCACAGAGAGATGAATCAAAGTGAGATTACATTACTTCACTCTACATAATCACCTTTGGGGTTTTGTCCCGACCCACCCAGTCCTAAAGGAATTTTCCAAGTTAAAAACAATTTAAAAACATCAATTAAAATATGTAAAACATTTGTTTTATATAAATTAATCTGGCATAGGTAGATAGATCACTTGGGCTTTATTTGATTGCTAGGAATGACTCAAATTTTACCACTTTGTGGTTTTTTTTACCTTATCAGATTTTTAGACCTTTCCTCTGAGAAACAAAGGTAATACTTATCCAACAACTGTGAAGATTAAATAAAATAGCATAAGGCCTGGAGTCCCTTCCTTCTTTGACACAAAGTAGCTACTGGTAAAATCTGACAAGCATTTCTCTCCTTTGTAAGATAGACAAATTGGTTGTAGCATGGAAAGCCACTGGGTTGAAATGAGAGAGCTTGTGTTGAGTTCTTTTTCTTTTTAAATTTATTAGAAAAGTCATTTGACCCTTCTGAACAGAAATTGACTATTTTTCAATTAATGTGGATTTTAGTTTTTCTCCTAGAAGTAAAATGTTCATAGAATTTAATAATTTAATGTAAAATTTTAAGTACAGCATTCTTAGTAGCAGTGGACATAGATGAATAAAAACCACAGCAATGCATGATATCCAGGCTCTACAAATGCTGTCTTTAGAAAGGCAAAGAACCACCACAGTGTTGATTTATTCTAGAATTATTAGAAGTGTTTCCTTTGGTCAGGTTCTTCACTGCGTATTTATTAGAAACGTCTCCTAACAGGGTACAAAAAGTGTGGACATACAGGTGACAGATGAGCTCAGTAGTAGTAATCTCTAGGAAGCTTTGCTTCACATTTAAGATCTTGCTCTTAAGATCTCTGCTTGGCCCATTTTCACCTTGGTTCTGTGTAATACAGCAGTTCTAATCATCTACAGAGTCTGCTGCTGTGCATATGCCCCAGGCCTGACCACTTTATTTACTGTAGATATGGAGAAAGCCAATCTTGGAAAAACCACAGCTTGGGTTCTATCATATTTTTGGTAGTGTTGATAATCTTTTCCTGTTTGATAATGCTGTAGAAGACAAAGGGAGATGGAGGGACTGTCCCTTGACACTGATGGGATCTACATTAAGGCTCTGCTTCGAATCAAGTGATATCCCCATTGCAATGCACAACTACATATGCATAAAATTATGTGTTATCAGAAGAAAATAATTTTCAAAATCTAATTCAATTCACTTACCCAAACCATAAACCAAAAGAAGGAATAAAAATAGCAATAAAAGAGGAACTATATACCAGGCAATAACAGGTTTCATTTCCTATCAGAGAAAGAAATAATGCATATGAAGCCCACAAAGAGAATGAAGCCAATTCATTTTGATCCTGTGGCGATGCTTTGAAGCTTCTTTTAACTCAGTCTCTTTTACATTTCCAGATGCCATGAAAGGTGATGTAGGCAGAAGGCAACACTTATGGGACTGGGGGATTTCGTTTTGCCCACTAGAGTGAAGGTTTGTATCTTACTTTTTCTGAGAGCAGCTTTAAAGAACTCTTCAAGCTGTCTGCGGAGTGCTGGCTGGCAGAGTTTAGCAGCAGGTCGGCGTGGGTTGCTATGAGAGGCTGCAGCTGATTGATGTTGCTGAGGACTTCCTTGGCCTTAGCTGTGTTTTCCGGTGAATAGTAGATGAACTGGTAGCCCGTGCTGTAACAACAAGGACAGCAGTTATGGAAGGCATAGAGAGCCTCTGCAGCTCTTAACAAACTCACTTCATTACTCTTACTTCATAAATAAGAACAGAGGTAAGGCAGGTTTACCATGTCCTGAGAGTTTATGTAAATTTAAGGCTAGATCATGTAAAACCAGCCCTCGATCAACCAGAGGAAAGATTTTATATGATTACATATGTTCAGAATTACTATAAGATGACTGCTAACATACATAATAAATCACTAAACCACACCAGGCAAAAAAGTAGACCCTCAACCCATATGATCAACTCAATCGCAGTATAAATCCTGGCTTGCAGCTCACTAGGGTGGCTTTGGCAGGTTTTTCGTCCTTGGTCGGAAAAGAGGATCAACTTTGTAAGCAAAGCTATGAAATGGTTAAATTTAGAGACACTCACATGCAGAGAGGAAAACAATGCTTGGTAGGAAGGAAGCATTCAATACACTACCTGTAGTTTTCTCTGTGACATTGACAAGCACAAGGCAGTAACAAACACCATGAACTCAAAAGTGGAGAGAAAATAAAATCAACTCCAAGTGACCAAATAGCCCATTCTATTTTAAAGAGAAAAAAAAAATCAAATCTAAAGCTCCATTATATTATTTTATCTCCATATTTGTTCTTAAATGTAGCTTAAAAATTGAAAATTGGTTATTAATTAGGAGCCTTTGACTTTCATAATCAGTGTGAAGGAACTGCTGGGAAACCTGGTGAGAGGAGGGGTTCCCTGCAGCAAAGGAGCCCGGAGCACAGAGCAGGGTTTGCTTCCCAGGATGGGCAGCAAGGAAAGAAAGGCAAAGGAAAGGGAGAAGGGGGCGGAGGAAAGGGAGAAGGGGGCGGAGGAAAGGGAGAGGGCGGAGGAAAGGGAGAAGGGGGCGGAGGAAGGGGAGAAGGGGGCGGAGGAAAGGGAGAAGGGGGCGGAGGAAAGGGAGAAGGGGGCGGAGGAAAGGGAGAGGGCGGAGGAAAGGGAGAAGGGGGCGGAGGAAGGGGAGAAGGGGGCGGAGGAAAGGGAGAAGGGGGCGGAGGAAAGGGAGAAGGGGGCGGAGGAAAGGGAGAAGGGGGCGGAGGAAAGGGAGAAGGGGGCGGAGGAAAGGGAGAAGGGGGCGGAGGAAAGGGAGAAGGGGGCGGAGGAAAGGGAGAAGGGGGCGGAGGAAAGGGAGAAGCAGGCAGAGCGGCTGCATTCACAGGCTTGGTGCAATCTTTCCACATCATTTTATAGCCAAGAGCCAAACTCTGTTTATAAATACATTAAGCCGGGTGGTGGTAGTGCATGCCTTTAATTCCAGCACTCGGGAGGCAGAGCCAGGTAGATCTCTGTGAGTTCGAGGCCAGCCTGATCTACAGAGGAAGATCCAGGACAGGCACCAAAACTACACAGAGAAACCCTGTCTCGAAAATAAATAGATAGATAGATAGATAGATAGATAGATAGATAGATAGATAGATAGATAGATAGATAGATACATAAATAAATAGATAAATAAAATACATTAAAGTCTGCTTTGAATATTTGTGAAATATCTTCCTTACAGTTACTAGCTAAATTATTTAAATTCCCATAATTTTATTTTCATTTTTGAAAACTTAAAAATCTCTGGAAAAAATACTATCTAGAAACCAGTTTTTCTTTCTCCTTTCTTGGTTCTTTGGTAGAAATTATTTAAATCTTTAAAAATATGGTAATATTTTACAAATATATAATATATTCCTTACAATTTATGTACTTTTTTGTAAAGCAGTTATGAGCAATGTTCTGGCATGTTCGAACTAATCAGAAGAGAGCACAAGGAAGCGACAACAGTGGTCACAGCATTGGGGAGCTAGGAGGTGCACTGCAGCCTGGACAGTGCAGGGCTCATCCTCTTCACTCTGGTTGTATTTCCTGGTAGGAATGTTCCAATGCTCAACCCACCGGTCCTTAAGAAATAAAACAACTCCACATTCCTTTTGTAAAGGAAACAGTTGTCTAAAGGTATCGATGTGGCATGATGGCGGGGGATGGTTCTTCACACCCAGGAGCTGTAGTTACAGGATCAGGACTCACTGCACACCCTGCACAGAAAATGGTGTGCAGTGGGTCATGAGGGCCTTCTTCACTGACCTACTTTCCTGGTATGAATGTCTGCTTCCTGATCTTATGGGGTCTGACAAGCTGAAGCTCCCCAATGGCTTAGTCCTCAGAAAGCTAAAGTGCCCACGGCCAGTGTTCTCCCATCCTTCTGTTTACATGACTTCTTTCTCAGTACATCATTTCTGACGCTCCTTATTCTTTCTCCCATCCCTTCGTTGTGATAGCTGCCTCTCCCCCTCTCTGCTTTTCTGACACTTCACTCTGATGTTATTTGTAAATATCATCCACTTTCCCTTTATCCTTTCCTCATTCTGCGCCCTGAAAATTCTTAGCATTCTCCACCTGATTCTCACATATGCTTCCAAGAAATCATTCTAAATACTCTTTTTCTTGTGCCTTAGGTGAGTAATGCCCAAGTTAGTGGGCATAAAGTCACTGACAAATGGGGAAGGGACCTCGGCATTTTTTAAGGATATAGAACTTCTTTGCAATGCCGAGAGACGTTTCTTCAGTGGGCTCTGCACTGTGATACATCCTTGGGAGGTTTGACTGCCAGTGAACAACTCTGTCATTAGAGACACCCACTGTCCCTGATTTGCCTCTGATGTCCCTGTGAATGCTGGGTCACACTTCACAAGGAGTCTGGTAAAAACCTCACTTAAGCTACTCTCAATTTCTTAGAATTGTTTTACCGGGCTACCTCTATTGTCTCTCTCTGTGTTCTGAGATCCTCCGGCTCCTCCCCATGACCACTGCTTCTTCTGACATTCCCAGCATTCTCATCTTTACCCTCTCACCGGAGACTGTTCAGTCAAGCCTGGGACATAACCCAAGATCCTGCCACTTGTGGCTCAGTCACGTCTCCTCTGAAGCTGCTACGTAGCAGGCATCTTGGTGAGGCTGAAAGATTCATTTTCCATACTGGAGGCCAGTGTTGCTGTCCACAATGACACAACATAGCATGGAGAAAAATCATCATCCACAAAATTACACTGAGTATGCACAGATTTTGTCTAACTATTGAATGACTTACTCTTGAAACATGTCATATATTTAATAGTTATAGCTTCTTAAATGGGAAATTATGAATATAATTTAATTATCTAGAAAAAAATTAAGTATTTTATAGTGGTCTGAGATTTAGACTCAATCCAAACATTTGAGTCAACTGTCAGGATAAAACCAGAACAAGAAAATATTTTTTGGAAAAAAATTTATAGACTATAAAAGCAAATTATGGATGATAGAAATTGAAATTGGTTTCATATTGTATTTGTATGAAATAAAAAGTGATTTAAAATATGTCCTTAGACTTTACACAAAGGTAAAAACAATGAGAGCATGGATACATGCCCTCTTACATATTTCATACGTATGTATGACCTTAGTCTCCTATTGCTGGTCTAGCTTATCTCTTCATCTTCCTGTACCAGCAAGACCCAGGTCTCAGACCTTGGAGCTTTGGAATTGGGGAACCATTTGACATTCCTGAGCATTTAATCTAGTGGTTTAAATGAGTCAGCCATGTGAAGGGTTTCTCAGTGCACATCTCTAACCCTAACTCCAACTGAAACAAAACTTCTTCAGGCATTTCCACTTAATATGTCCAAAGGAGATCTCAGGCAGCTCCACATCCTCAACACCTAGGTTGGCTGGACTCTTCTGCACTTTTCTTCAGGACACGGCCAGTAGCTTCTCTTCCTCCCTTACCGTTATCAGAAGAGTCGCCCTTTCCTTTCAAATAAACCCAGAATCCAACCCCTTGTTTCCATGCTCACTACAAATATCCTGGTGCAAAGGGCCATCACCTCTTATCACTAGGGTTACACACACACACACACACACACACACACACACACACACACACACAAAACTCTAGCTTTGTACTTCTATTCAGGGCTTGAAAGATATAGGACACACACACACAGAGAGAGAGAGAAAGAGGAGAGAGAGAGAGAGAGAGAGAGAGAGAGAGAGAGAGAGAGAGAGAGAGAGAGAGATTTTTCTCAACCTAAGTCCATATAGCCCAGGACTTAACTGTAACTTACCTGTTCTTCCTCTACCCTCCCCAAAACTGCTTAACCCATTGCTCAACCTCACTACTATTATAGGCCATGGAGATATGGAACAATGTAAATAAGAAAGGAAGGACAGGCAGGAAAGGGAAGAAGAAGGAGAAGAAGAAGAAGAAGAAGGAGAAGGAGAAGGAGGAGGAGGAGGAGGAGGAGGAGGAGGAGGAGGAGGAGGAGGAGGAGGAGAAGGAGAAGGAGAAGGAGAAGGAGAAGGAGAAGGAGAAGGAGAAGAAGAAGAAGAAGAAGAAGAAGAAGAAGAAGAAGAAGAAGAAGAAGAAGAAGAAGAAGAAGAAGAAGAAGAAGAAGAAGAAGAAGAAGAAGAAAGCCACAGGGGAGAATGGCAGAAGACAGAGGCTGATGAATTAAAAAAAAAAAGTATTCTAGAGTAGTAAATCTCTCTTTGGTGGAGTTAATTCTCCCAAGGAAAATTTCAGGATGATTTTGATGTACTTTTCCCCAGTTCATAGATGTGTGTGTGTGTGTGTGTGTGTGTGTGTGTGTGTGTGTGTGTGTGTGTGTGTGTGTGTATGTGTGTATCTTGAATCCAAACAGGCATCGACATGCTCTTAGTTCTAACTGACAAGAAAACCATATGAATAATACATAAGAATTTCCACCTTAGTCAGCTGAATCTACTCTTCTGGCTTCACAACAAGCATCTGAAATGGCTGAAGGTGCCATCAGAGCGCTCTGCCTCCCCTCGGCTGCTTTTCTTTCCTGTTGGACGTGAGGCTTAGAGAAAACAACACTCGCTTTCTTTGCCTGCAGTTGGTTCATTTATGTATTTAGATGACTTATAAGAGCCGTGCTTAAATTGGTCTTTGTTTTTA